ATTTGCCCGTCACCGACGGGGCTGAGCAGCACAGGACCTCTGCGATCTGTAGGTGGGAGGGGCCTCGCTCTGCGGAGCAGGTGGCCGCTTGATTAACCTGATCACCTGGGAGCGGGAATCTGAGGGAGGAGCGGTGTTGAGGGGGTCACTAACGATGACACTGAAACAAGAAAGCTCGTGTCTTTCACGATTTACCATCTGAACCAAGACTGAAATGAGAACATGCAAACATTGCTCTCTCACACACCTCCCTGCGCCTGGCTTCTCAGTCATTGTTTCTAAAGATAAAGTGACCTAGTTTCCTAACCCACTTTAAGCCAATCCCGCGGAAGACTTTGTCTCCCTAGTCGTGTTCCCAAGCCAGACAGAGCCGCAGCGTGCTCCCTGCACTGTGCTTTACCTGCCCCGGAAAGCGCTTCAGTTCCAGCAGCATCCGCTACAGGAGGGGAAAGTGACCGAGAGGGAAGAGCTGGCTTCCTCCGTACAGAGCGTCGATTTGCCCTAGCCTGAGGATCCGAGGAGATTTTCCAAGGAGAAAGGCAAAAATACACTGAAATCAAGAAAGTTTGTGGTGGCTTTTCTGTCACTGCCTTGAGGGCTGTGCTAGGCCGTGCCGCGGGCAGAGGCCACCGCGAGCGGTGGAGGTGGACGGAGCCCGCTCTGACGCTCTCCGCTGTAACAGTGGAAGCGGGACGAGACACCCACGTGCCCCACTGCAGCCCAGCATGTGACACTGAAGGAAAGACACGTCGTCTCTGCAACAGACACACTTCCAAATGGGCTCACTCTAAGCTGGAGTTTGGATTTCAGCCCAGGAGATGAGATTATTTTTCCTTTTTAAGCGTTACTTGCTTCCTTTCAAGCGACTTAGCTTGTCTGCCCCCAAATCGGGCTGGCTGACAGGCAAGGCAGGTCTGAGGGAGCTGCCCCTGCAGGCTGTGGCGTGAAGCAGGAGAGGACGCCGCTGTGCACTGGTGTAGGAGGCCACTGAAACGTCACTCAGAAGTCAAGTGGCCTAAATCCAGTTATTTTCCAAGCAGACTTTGGACCCCTGTCTACCAAGCCTTCGAGAGCTGGAGCTCCCAATGCAAAGTCCCCTCTGGCTGGGGCTGATTTGCACCCCGACATCAGTAACTGCACAGCCACGGGGCTCATGGCACCATGCTCTCCGATGGGAAAAGGAAAGCCAAAGCAGAGACGTCCCCTTTCCTCCCTTCAAGAGCCTGAAAGCTACCTCAGGACCTGGATTAGAAAGTCAACCAAACACAAACTTGCACAGTGCCGAGGAGCCCTGTGAGGGGTGAAAACAAAGCGGGAGGAATAACACAGACGGCGTCGGCTTGAACACATGAGCCGTTCCTGGGAGAGAGCGAGGGAGGCAGCAGCAAGTCAGATACTGACAGCCGTCAGCTGAGTGCTGAGCGCCAGACCGAGACCACCGGTGAGGCTCCTGCCCACTGCTGCTGCCCCATCGGGGGGCCGGGGGGTGGGGGGGCGGTGCCTGGCTCAGCAGGCAGAGTTGGCAAAGGCGCGTCAGGGAAACCAGGCTGCGCGGCCCAGAACCCACCAGGTCAGGACAAGCCATTCCAGCAAGTCACAGCAGGGAGAGGTGCTTGGACTTTGAGGAACAGGCTGGAATGAGAGCGAGCTGCACTGTATCACCAAGCAGGGACGTGACAATATGGCAACGGATGCTTGAAGGAAATCACTCCGTTGGTGTCTGCAGCCACAAAAGCTGCCCCGCCCACGGCAGACCGCTGCTCTACATACGCAGGCGCCACAGCCCAGGTCGGCAGCCCAGTGTTGGGGGCACCGCCGGCAGCCATTCCTCCAAGGCCTCTGCGGGGGGCACTCGGGGACAACTGGCCTTTCGGCTGGCCGTGGCACACAGGGCCGCCTGCTGGAACAGGCCCCTGGGAGCTGGACACGGGTAGCAACCTGAGGACTGCCACCCCCACCCCAGGTCCTCCTTGACTGGTCTCGCAGCTTCAGCTGCATCAACACCAGCACTGGGGTCTGAGCCTGATGGGGGTGGGGGAGGGGACGCCACAGTGGTTCACTGCGCACCTGGGGGTTGACCCTCCACCCAGCCCCCATTCAACCAAAGGTAATAGAGCAAAGAGAATGACCACCTGAAGGTCAGCTGGGGGAGGCCCAGGGGTCCCATCCACCAGTTAGGTTCCTCCCAGTTCTGCCAGAGGCATCTTGACCTTGGAAGTTTCTGGGCCCTTTGCTTACCAAGGGCAAGGAGTTACAGCTCCTTCTTTCACTTGCTTTTTCTTTTAAATTCTTGTCATTCCTTCTCGCTTCAAAGATTCTTATCAAGATCCAAAAGAGTAACAGTCAATAAAGATTGATCATTTTGCTGCATTTAGCCCCAAAGAGTGGGCTGATAGGAGAGGGGCGGTCAGGCTGGCTTTCCATAGGAAGCCAGCACAGGGCAAGGTCCAGGAAGAGCAGAAACGCCTGGAGGCAGACCACGGCCTAGCAAGGGACCACAACAGAGAAGACCTGCTTCCTCTCCCTGGACAGGTGGCCAGCAGAGGGACACACGGCCAAGGAAAACACACACTGAAATGAGGGGAAATGTTAGAAAAAAAATTGCTGAGCTGTTTTAAAGATCTGCTTCTTCCCTTTGAGAAAAAGTAAAGGAAAAAGAGTAAGGAACTGTCCAGTCGGTCAGTGTTTGGCATCTGTTAACTAACGGTGATGTTAACCCACAGTCAGGTTTCTCCAGACCCGTGTTGCGCAGCGTCTGATGTGTGAGATCGCTAAATACGGCCTCAGGTGGAGTGAGGTCTCCGGAAAACGCTTCCCGCTCCCTCAACTGTGAAACTGTAACTGGGTGGTCCCTAGGAGAAGGGAAGTTCCAGGTTCCCTGCCCCACCCAGAAGGAGGGTGGAACTGAGCAGAGAAAAAGGAGAGAGAAGAAGACAGGGAAGGCAGATGGAGAAGGAGA